TCAGTTTCTCCCTCATCCCTCTTTGTATCCCGATAATTACCCGGCTTACCAACCCATGGAGTCCAACATCCCCTACACTTCTGCAACTTACTCTTCTGGATGTCCCTCCCGAATGTGATTATAGACACGATGCTCCCTTGAGATCGTCTTCCCCCTTTTTTTCTTTTTTTTTTTCTTTTTTCTTTTTTTTTTTTCTTTCCTTTTCCTTTTTTTATCTTTACTGCCTATTCCCCTTCTCCGTTCTGCTATCAATTCTTCCACATCAGCTGCATCGTAATGGATGGCACATGATCACTAGAAGGAATTCCTGTACCCTTTTTCCAGCATCAGCAGAGTTATGCAAGCAGGTCCCAATCTTATGCATTTCTGGAATGATGACTATGATGATGATTTAGCAAGATCCCTTTTTTTAACATGTACTCTCAATATCTCTGTACATATTTCGGGCGCTCAGGAATTCCGTTTCAGACCGAATGGCGTTTTTGCTAAACGGCGATGTGCATGGCATGGCATATGAGAGATCAGATTTATGTTTTGGCTTTTCCTCTTCTGTACTAGGCCGTTCCCACTTAGAACACGGTTCCACGGTTCATAACATAAAGTGTGCCATCCCTGGAGTGGACATATGGGGATCAAATGGTAATCTGAGACATGCAAGACGAGATGGAGTATCTATCAGGCTAAGATCATGAATTAAAAAATATTCTCGTTTCAAAGTTAGACAACCCCCCTGACTCCTAAATCCGAAACTGCATAACATGTACTCCGTATCACGTATAAACGTGCGCATTTATCTTATTTATCCCTTGCGGCACGAACATGGCAAGCGAGTATCGCCGTCGATCAGCTATGTCGATCGTCTGTCCTGTCACAGCCCAATCCGGTCCTTGCTCCCTTGCAGACCCCTCCTTCCCTGTAGAGACTTATCTTAAGATGAGGGGCTGGATTTGTCTTGCATACCCCGTGCAGGGAGACTAACGACATTTTCTGTGTGCGTGGGTGTATGGGTGTGATACGTGTAAACTACGGGTTTATCTGAGATTATGTTAGAAGCGGGCTGAATCAACCCCGGGAAACCCCGGGAGATGGGGGAAAGTATAGCCGATCGTCAATCGGACGACCTGGGTTAAGGTGATGATCTGTTATTGGATATTAATTATCAGCCTCATTGTTATAGAAGATATCATCACAATATTACCTGTGTACTCCGTCCTACAAATTATAATATTTACCCGGGTGAAGGGGCTGTGCAATCAAGGGATGACATGTTGCATTCCACGCTGGCAACACGCGAGGGTGAACTTTGTCTTAGCTTTTTTTTACCTTTCAGATTTCAGTATTGCTTTTTCGTCCTTTTTTTATCAATTCCTTCCTTTTTCTTTTTCTCTTTTTATTTTTTGAGCATATTCCTAATCATGTTCGCTTAACACATTCCAACCCTTGAATTGCCTATCGCGTGGTGAAGTCAACCGGCTCGGGGCGAGGGTGTGGAGCTTGCGTGTCTCTCGCGTGTAGGGTTTGGCATTTGCATGCATCGTGAGCCTTTTAATACTGTGCCCCTCCCATTTTGACTGGCTTATTCTCTCTCGACGTTACGCTTTTTTTCGTCTTTTATATTCAAGACTTTATTATATAGCTATGGAGGTTCGTGCCCTACTGACTCTATGATGCCCCGGCTCTCCACAATCAATGATAATCTAACCGCACCCCAGGAAACACAGCTGGACTGGAATGACTCCACAGACGTCCTCCAAGGCATCATGGTTGGGCACGAAGGACATGATCTGTCCGATCCTAAATCTTCACTCCCCTTCGATGCCGCAAACCCACTACTAGACCTCCAACACGGATCACTCGATCCAACACTTAACCCACTGCTAGGCCAATGGCCTTCACATTCCCGAGACCTATACTACTCCCAATACACTCACTCCCGTCTGACAGGTGACCAAGATGCCTGGAATCCGTTGCTGGCCACCGGTGTTCCGGCCGCTTCGTCCATCTCGCATATGAACATGCCTGCCCAGATGCCCGACCAGGACTGCTGCTTCTCGCAACATCGATATAGCGAACCCTCTGAGAACGGGAGCCAGTACGTGGATAGCTATCACTCTACGGATTCCGGGTACGGTGCAACCAGCTGTGCAACGCAATCGGTGATTACTTCTTCGTACAGCATGGATTCCTCGAGCCCTCACATCGACATGACAGAGAATATGTCCACTGAGTCAGGGTTTTCGTTTGATCATCCCCAGTATGAGCCTGTGTCTGAGCCATCTTACACGTCGGAGTTCATGAGCTCGCCATCGCAGTTGGTTGATGCCTCTATGCGATGCGAGCATCCATCGTGCAAGTGGGTTGGGAAATGTCCTTCGGACAAAAGGTGTGTCGTACTCACTGTTTCAGTTTCATTGAAAATGATGATAACAAGACACTAACTTCCGCAGAAAACATGAGGCTCGCCACAAGAAACAGTTCAAATGTGACGTGCCAAATTGCCCGCGGAAGGACGGTTTCGGCACCATTAATGATCTTGCTCGTCATAAAAAATGTGTTCACAATAAAGAGCCCGAACGTGGGCCCAAGATGATGTACATGTGTTTCGGGGCAAACTGCCCTCGCCCGAACAAGAGGTGGCCGCGTCTCGATAACTTCAAGCAACACCTGAACCGAATGCATCATGAAGAGGATGGGGAGACACTCCTGAAAAAGTGAGTTTGACATGGGACGTGTAATGTTCCAAGCACTAATTTATGAACAGTTCCATGGATTGGTATGAGAAAGTTATCCTCCACCAACCGGAACAGAGCTTCGACGAGCGTAACTCAAGAGATGAGTCGGTCTTAGAGCCGGAAGAAGACGAGGCGTCCGTCCAGTCGACCGCCGATATGGAGCCAGAATACGGTTCCATATCTCAACAGAGGACTGATATCTTCACATTTGGTGCTGCCACACCAAGACCCCCTCAGTATACTACGCCGCCTCTTGCAGACTCGACATCTTCTCAATTTCCCGCTTTTGGCTCCCTAGGTCTATCAAAAACAAGTCAAGATTCGTCTGCTGAACGCGGTATCATGAGGCCCGATGGATCGGTTGCAGACGCAGCTGATAACTTAATCAACGCCATGACGAAGATGATGAACAACCGCGGGCGGAGATCAAGTCAGAATATTGATGAGGGGGTCGATCTTGAAACCGACACCGCTCAGCTCTCTCAGCCCCAGCGGCGAATGCTGCAGAAGGTGCTTTCGGTGGCCTTGGAACGGCTATCCGACGACAACGAAATCACCGCACAGGAACCTGATAGCGAAAAGCGTGGTTGGTTCCAATGTGATGCGTGTCCAAAGCAGACCCGGCTCCGCTGTGAAATGAAGTAAGCCACCCCGGACACTTCCCTATTCTTATCAGGGTTCTAACCACAAACGCTATCAGGAAACACCAGAAGCGTCACGAACGACCCTACGCTTGTACATTCCCTCACTGCGCCAAGTCTTTTGGCAGCAAAGCCGACTGGAAGCGCCATGAGAGCTCCCAGCATCTCGGTGTGCCAAGTTGGTTCTGCACAGAACATGATGTGCAAACCGGCGCCTCATGTGAGCGGTTATTCTATCGAGTCGACACATATACTCACCACCTACGTCAACATGGGGTTCACGAATATCACGTCGCAGCTTCGGCTGGCAATAACCGGCTCGATCTGGCTGCCCAGTCGCATTTCTGGTGTGGCTTCTGTAACCACAGAGTCCCACTAAAGAACCATGGCCCCGAGGCCCTGGATGAGAGGTTCAATCATATCGATATTGAGCATTTCAAGAAAGGAGAGAAAGGTCAGGACTGGCGGTTCCCGTCTTCGTCGCTCGAGGGGGACGAGATGGACCAGTCCAAGGATGTTGCGATCCAGACGCTTGGCCACAGTAAGAAGGCTGTAACGACTGGCGAGCGGAAGCGCAAGTATGCCGTGGCATGACATACCAGGGACTTTGAATACTGAAATCCTGGCTTCTCGTAATATAATAAGGATATTCTGCAATGTTTGGTTTATTGGGATCATCAAGACAATGTTTCTCCAAATCTGGAAGTGTCATGGCATTATACAAAGCCACAATATAATATGGTGCCGAGAATCAATGAAACATAATATGGTACACATTTTCTCAAGATTCTCTCAAGATCGGATTCATTTCTGAGTGCTAGTAATCTCCCGGGCCTCTTTCTCTAGTACTGCCACTTTCTCTGTAAGAAGGGTAAGCAACATACATGATGGAGTACTAATTAATTAATTTTCGCTGGTCTCACCATTCTTCGCCACCTTGATCTCATCCATCTCCAACTTCAACCAGGTCCAATAAAGGACTTGATAGACGAACACGCCCCCCAAGAAGACCTTGGCGAAGGGGCCAGTAAAGGTTCGGTATTGGTTCATCTAGATAGAACATTAGAAGGTTTCAATTTGACCCTGCGGTATTAAAGAAAAACATATACGAACCCCTTCCTTGTATGCACTTGGCTTCTGTGATGAGTTGAATATGGCTTGTGTGGAGGAGAAGGTGCGAAGGCTCATGGGAGCTCGAGCAGATTGAAAAGACATCACAGCCGGTGTCAACCGACGAGCTGATTGCGAGAACATATTGTGATTCTAACGTGTCTTCTTTCTCGTTGATATCCGAGGAGACGAGCCAGGGTGATGTTAGAGTTCGTGTTCCATTTCAGGTATGGCGGTCTTGGCATTTATTCCTCAGGTGTCGATTTATCATACCGTCTCTCGCTTTCTCATCCTCTCATGATTATACAGCTTATCCAAAACAAGACCAGGTAAAAGGTGGTCGAGAGCTTTTTTCTCATTGTATTTCGGTTTCTTCTAGAGTCAATTACTTATAACACACAGAGTTGATCTTTTCGGGTGTCGGCGCTTGACCACCGAATGATGACATGTATAGTCCCAACCTTGGCAGTGAAATTACCGTATATCTAAATTCATCTCCAAAGACATCTCTTCCAGTATGGTCTGCAAAACAGAGCCTTTGTGGATTGAAACTGCCCACAACTACCAACAAGACCGATGGGTATCGCAAACCAGATACGTGTACGGCATAGGCAACAAAACAGCTCGTTGTCAGGCTGATCTCTTCGTAAAGCTTATCATGTGTGATTACTATGTCCATGAACTCGTTCAACAGGAGGAAACACTGAAAGAAAAAGGTTGGGCACTCCGAAAAATGCGAAACGCTGATGAAGACAGAGCGCGACTCCAGAAAACTGGACGAAGAGCAAGAGGTGCTCCGGAAGAGATACTAACATCAGGAGTGGGTGTTCTACAATTGGCAATGCAGCATTCCCAGTGGCCCTATAAAATTTGCCTATGAATCATTAAGAAAGGATCTAAAATGGTATATACAAAAGGAACTAATCGGGGATTGTGTTAGGTGAGTTGGTTGCTTCAGGCGTGACTGAAGGTGCTGCGAGAAACGTGAGCCTACTCCCAGACGAAACATGGGAGTCGGGCATTGTACCACTGGGTGCGGATGCTGCTTGAACTTTCGAGGATGTGCGCTCACTGGAACAGAGAAGGACAAGATTAAAGATAGGCTCAGAGCGACTAGTACTCGGATAGAGTTTATCTTCTCACATTGCCTCGCGCTTACTTGTTAAGGGACAAAAAGGTCGAGAAGGCCGAGCATGTTGACCCGGCGTCAAATCGGTCCAAATGGAGGGAAATTACCGGAAGGGAGTAGATGGCTACTCGTGAAATGATAGCTTTTGACACTTTTTCTTGAAGTTGAAGATTCAACACTTGAACTATAGACAGATATTCAACAGATTCCATTGCTATTTTAAAAAGACCTATCTAGAAACAAAAAAGGGTTTCCTTTGATGTCATGTTGGCAACGCAAGAAGCATTGTCAAGGTATATACTGGAGAGCCTCCACGGCTTTCATCGGTGCTATAGTGCGACATAAATGAAACGATATCAATAAATGTGTCCTTGTGACAAATTAGAAGATCGAGAATAAGATTAATTGGCTGGATGGGCGAAATGAGTATCGGTGCTTGTCCAGATTGTAGATCTTCAGGGCTTCAGGGTGGCACGAGCCACTGCTGAGTCAGCAGCACATGATATCAGGTCCGGTCGAAAGCGTCGCAGAAAAAAAGACAACCAAAAGGAAAAAACAAAGGGCACTATTCTCGTCTTCTTCATGTCCCAAATTGCCCTCTGACACCTCCTGTCATCATTGTATCATGTCATTTCCCCACACCTCCATCAGTCCTGAATGTGCCGTATTAGGGCATCAAAATGGCCGAAAGTATCCATTTAGCTAATTCAGGAGAAGAATGGAGCACTACAATAGCTCGATTCATGGGGGCTTGATTCATCACCTGAAGGGCGACAATGGCTATTGAAGCAATTCCCCCCATTGAGAGAGGGTGGCACGTGCGCTTTGTTGACTAATTGGGAGCGCCACAATAAGTGGCTGATGAATTCAGGCAGTCAGCCCCAATGAGAGCGAGTCCTTTCCGCCCTTCTTCCCTGAAGTCTTTGTTCCTCGAGTTCCCATCGTCTTCTACTTTCTTTTACTTTCAATAATTCTTTCCGTGTACTGCGCATTTATCTTGGTGGCTGACAGCTTTCCAACACTTCTGTTTTCCCACGCGTTCCCGAGTCCGTGAGACCCTTCCACCTCTGCCCCAATTGCGCTCCACCATCGTGCCGTCTCCGCTAACATATTGATCAGCAATTGTCGGGAAGAAAGTGTCAAGGTTGCTGCTGTGACAGGCAGATTCTTTCCCTTCGATCGAGTGGTCCAGCTGTTGCTGGCGACAACTGAACCATTCGTAAGTGCTGTCCCTCCTACCCGCATCGCGCAACATCGACAATCCGCCTTTTTTCATCTTTGTATCTTCCTTATTATCAGGGCGTCTGAGCCCTTGACTGTACTCTCATTGTACTCCCCAAATTGAAGCGGTTTGTGCTGACTTTGTGGTTTCAAAGTGATCCCCTAATCACCAAAACTCCGTCATGGCTCGTGGCGCAAAGCGTACCCTGGACGAGGTCGCCAACAAGTCTGACTCCGACGATGAGGACTACAGCGACCACGCTCACTACTCGCGTTCGACCGGCCGGAAGTCGAAGGCCAGCCCCAAGAAAAAGTCGCGGCCGGCCCCAAAGAAGAGACGGCGCAGCTCAGACGATGGTCTCACCTCGGAGGAGGAAGACGTGTCCGAAGATTTTGACTTCGATGAGGTAGAAGAAGAATCGGAGGAGGAGGAGGAGGAAGAGGAGGAGGTTGAACGCAATGTCAGAGGAACGGCACGTCGACGAACCACCCAGAGCCGTCGCCCGCACTACGAGGAACCAGATTCGGAAGAAGACCCGCTGAACGATGATGGTGAGAATGAGACTCGAGCTCCTGCTCCACGCAAGAGCACCGTCATCAAATTGAAACTCCCGCCCAATTACTTGGCTTTCTCTAAACGTGTAACCCGCCGGACCCGTGACGCTTCAGAGGATATCTACGCCCTTACCAACTCTGGCCGTCACGTACATACCGTTGAGCGAGGTACACATACACCAGAAGCTGAAATCCCATCCCCGTTTCGCCGCGTTTCCAGAGTCGACCGCATGGCCAAGCGCACGATCATTGACGAAGAGGATGAAGACGCCGAAGGACATGAGGATGTTGAGGATGTTATCAACGAAACGACTATTCAGGGCTCGCAAATGGAGGTACTGGAAAGTGACGTGCCTCAAGGCGGCGCTGAAGGTGATACATTGCCAGTGAATGATGGAGATCACGACCCAATTGACGAAGAAATGCCAGATGAAGACGTTGTCCCTGAATCAGAAAATGGCGACGCGAAGATTGATCATTCCGAACACGCCGAGGAACCCCCAACAACTCGGCGACGAGGCAGGCTCTCCCACGAGCAACCTCACGAGGAGAATACCGCGCAAGACGCCGAGACAAATGAAGAATCGCAGCTACGTCGATCCAGCCGTAAGCAGCCGTCTCGAAGCTCACAGCGGAAAAGCAAAAATGAAGAAAGTGATTTCGAGCCAGAGGAGGAGCTATCGAATGATGAAGAGGAAGACTCGGAGCCTGAATCGCGTGCCTCTCCTCGCAAAGAACTTCGAGCTCGCGAGGAAGCCGAAGATAGCTCTGCCAGTCGGCGCCCTGGCCTACGTCAACGGCCTTCTCGAACCCGCGCACCCTCAGAGGAGGCAGAAGAACTCGCTGAAGAATTGGAAGACCTTACTGGCCGTGCCCGTCGCCGTGCGAAGCAAGCAGTCGTGTACGAGAAACCGCGTCGCAATCGAAAGGACGTTGATTATCGCATTATTCGACCTGAAATGCTTCAACCCAATGAAGACACCGACAACGAAGTGACAGGGTCTCCATCCCGGCGTGGCCGTGGAGGTGGAGGCTGGCAGCGCACTTTGTTCTCGACGTTGGGTCCATTCGGTGGGGGTGGTAATTCAGCTATTCTCGGTGTTCCTGGTGGCCCTACTGCAGTCGGAGGAGCGGACAGCGATAGCAGCGATGATGAAGGTGCTCAACAGCCAAATCGTGCTCCTGGCCTTGGAGTTGCAGCCACCCACAACCAGTCGGCTGACCCTGGTCAGAACTCGGCCGGTACACCTGCCAACCTTGGAAAATTCAATAACAAGCAGGCTTTGGCTGATGCCGATCCCTTGGGGGTTGACATGAATGTCAACTTTGACCATGTTGGCGGTTTGCAAGGACACATTGACCAGTTGAAAGAAATGGTTTCTTTGCCGTTGCTGTACCCGGAAATCTTCCAGCGTTTCAAAATCACTCCCCCTCGCGGTGTTCTATTCCACGGTCCTCCTGGTACCGGAAAGACGCTGATGGCTCGTGCTTTAGCCAACAGCGTGAGCTCAGAAGGACGCAAGGTCACATTCTACATGAGAAAGGGTGCGGATGCACTGAGCAAATGGGTCGGTGAGGCTGAGCGACAACTTCGGCTTCTTTTCGAAGAAGCCCGCAAGAACCAGCCCAGTATCATCTTCTTTGATGAGATTGACGGTAAATAAGGCCCCTCTTGAAGGCATAGCTGACAAGTGCTAATATTCTATACCAGGTTTGGCTCCCGTGAGATCCAGCAAACAAGAACAAATCCATGCCTCCATTGTCTCGACCCTACTTGCGTTGATGGACGGCATGGATGGTCGTGGTCAAGTAGTTGTCATCGGTGCTACCAATCGACCTGACTCTGTTGATCCTGCTCTTCGCCGCCCTGGTCGTTTTGACCGTGAATTCTATTTCTCGCTGCCTAATATTGAGGCACGTCGTGCTATTCTCGACATTCACACCAAGGAATGGGATCCTCCTCTTCCAAGCAACATCAAAGATGAATTGGCAGATATGACCAAGGGTTATGGCGGTGCTGACTTGCGAGCGCTTTGCACCGAGGCTGCAATCAATGCCGTACAAAGAAGATACCCCCAAATCTACAAATCAGACCAAAAGCTCGTGATTGATCCGAAGACAATCGATGTGGCCCCCAAAGATTTCATGCTGGCAATCAAGAAGATGGTGCCCTCTTCAGAGCGGTCGACCTCATCTAGTGCGACTGCCCTGCCTCCGAACATTGAACCCCTGCTTCGCCATCCATTGTCCGAAATCAAATCTTTGCTGTCCGAGATTCTTCCGCAGCGAAAGAAGCTTACTGCTCTCGAGGAGGCTCAATACGAGGAACCTGATGATGGTGCAGGCTTCACTCGAGAGCTCCTTTTGCAAGAGTTTGATCGCTCGCGTGTCTTCCGACCCCGACTCCTTCTTCGGGGCCCCCACGGCATGGGCCAGCAATACCTCGCAGCCGCACTACTGCATGTGTTTGAGGGCCTGCATGTGCAGGCGTTCGATCTCCCCACCTTGTTGAGCGACTCAACCCGCTCCCCAGAGGCAGCTGTCATCCAGCTCTTCACCGAGGTTAAGCGACACAAGCCGAGTGTGATTTACATTCCCAACATCCAACTGTGGTTCCAGACTGTCGGACCTACTGTGATTTCTACCTTCATGAGTCTTTTGCGGTCGGTGGCTCCTTCGGATCCAGTTCTTTTGCTTGGTATTCTCGAATCACAAGAAGAGGAACTGGATGAGGGTCTACTGAAGAACATGTTTGGATTTTCTAAGAAGAACCTGTATGGTCTATCTGCTCCAAATCATGACGCGCGTCGTGAATTCTTTGGAAAGATCATTGAATTCGTCAAGACTCCTCCGAAAGGATTCCCCAACCCCGAAAATCGAAAACTTCGTCAGCTTGAACAACTGGAAGTCGCGCCACCCCCACCTCCAAAGCCTGAGGCAGAACTCACCAAGGAGGAGATCAAGGCTCAAAAGAAGAAAGATTACATATCCTTGAATCTTTTGAAAACCCGGATTCAACCTATCATGGATCAGGTCAAGAGGTACAAGCGTTTCAGGTCGGGCGTGATCGATGAATCCCAAATCCGATATTTGTGGGAGGAGGAAAATCCCAACATTGTTACCAGTGATCTTCCCCCGGATCAACAAAACACATTCCGGCCTTATGAGAAAGCGTACGACAAACATGGTGTGTTGGGTCTCCGTGAAACTGCCACTGGGAAATTCTACTACAACCTGGAGATTGTGACAATTGAAAAACGCCTTGCAAACGGATACTACAAGCGTGCCATCGACTTTGTGGCGGATGTCAAGCGAATGGTCAAGGATGCTCGTCAGACTGGTGACCCCGAACGCATTTTGCGGTCAAGTGAACTTTTGACCAATGTCGAAGTTGATATCGCCGGTGTCCTGGTCGCCGAGCCAGCTCTTATGGCAGAATGTGAGCAGGTCTATCTGCGTGAGATGGCTCGCGAAAAGGAGGCTGCGGAGCGTGAGAAACGTGCCCAAGTGGAGAACGCAGCTCCCATCCCTGACCCTTCCAATGAGTCGCATGGCAACACCGAATCGGGCCTGTCGACAGGCCCAATTCAACTCGGCGAGGAGTTCCCCGACAATGAGGATGATAGAAAAGCAGCTTTGCATCCCGTGACCCCCACATCCCAGTTCAAGAGTTTCGCCAATGGAGATCATCACGACGGTGGTTCGGATCTCAACGAGATTGGTTCCCATGCTGTCGGAGCGAGCAACGGTACCCATGGAGATGGAGACGGCGACGTTTTCATGTCCAATTCTGATGATCATTCGGGTAGCAAGGACACTCAGGGAAGCTCATTCGGGCCATCTGCACAGCCGAAGCCTCCTTATTCCCACACGGCACCTTCTCAGCAGATTCGTCGAGAATCTGGTCTTTCCAGCTTCTCCCAACGAGGCCCCATGACCCCAATGGCCCCCGGATCTCAGCCAGCTGATTACACCAATGAAGCGTCCACTACTCAGACGACTTCTGATAAGAAATCCTCTGAGCATCTGTCGAATCAAAATGACCACACTCAGAGCCCTCATATCTCGAGAACCGAATACCCCGACCTTACTCAATACCCCGATCGCGTGTCACAGGAAGACCACCTGCCCGACACCCAGCAAAATGACAGCAGTCAACCTTCTCCCAATCTCCGGGACTCACTGCTTAGCAATGCAGACACCCAGGAGAACAGTGGTCTGAATGGAAGCCAGTCGCAGTCGAAGCCGCAACCCCCGCTGTTCGATGCACCTAACATGCCAGCAACGAATGCTTCGACTAACTTGCAATCGATCCTGAGCGAAGAACTCCATGAGCCATTCGTCCTCGATCTTGAGGTTGTTGAGCGTCTGCACGCGCAGCTAACCCTGTCAACCAGCGGATTCTCAGTGGAGCAGCTGGAGCAAATCAACACCAATCTAATGGACTACGTGTGGCACATGCGTGGAGAATGGAACCGTACTCGTGTCGCCGATGGTCTCGGAAAAACATACAATGCAGTCCTAGAAGATATGCAGGCGATGCAGGAGATCGGGCCTATCAGCCAACAAACCAAGGATATCCTGGCCAACCTGAGTTTCCAGTGAGAGCTGACTGATGGATAATTCCATACTTTCACCCTTTTCTCCTTTTTTTTTGTCCCTTTTTTTACTTTGTCAATATGTTGACTCGGTTCATATTCCCCTTTGATCTGGCGATGGTTTTTGTTTTTGTTTTCTTGTGTGGCGAGATGGATGGATAGGGGGAGCAAATGTGTCAATTACCCAATTTCCTTAATTGTTTATGCAAAAATTAGTTTTAGTGGGTTATTTGACATGGGGAATGTATGTAGACTATGAGGATAATGGTCTAAAATGTTGTTTCTCTTCGTAATTATGACTCTTAAAATCTACAACTTTTTATACTTGGGAATGAACATGTGACGTGACCCACTAAACACCCTGGCCTTTCGAGCTTGACCAACACCACATTTCGCAACTTCAATACCCTTCTTTTCTTCATTTCACCTTCACACTGGTACAGATTGAGTATTGCTATCTCATCTTCTTTCCCGGACCTTCAATCCCTATACCTCTGTCCTAAAAACCACATCGCTGCAATGTTCGACGTGGACTGGCTCAGTCTGGCCGTCCCAATCGCCTACCTAGGCATTCTTTTGGGATCGCTTGCTACATTCTCCTCCCTCTACCGCAAGCGCAAGTCCCGTATGTGAAATGCCCCCAGAAAGCCTCGAGTCCTCAACACCCACCCATCTCGCGCGCCGTTGCGTCCGGTTGTCCTTGCATGCTAATATATGATTTGTGAATCGTTATAGACAAGGCAGCATCTCTAGAGCCATGGTTCCCCGCCCACCTCCAGCGCGATATTTACTTCTCTCTCCTCCATCTTGAACCCTCAGCAACCTCCACAAAAGAGAAGAAGGCCCCCGCTATCCCCGACTCTATCTTCAAGGCTTCTCTTCTCCGTCGCGCAGCTGAGGACATCCGTCGCATTATGGCACTGCGCAACCAGAAGCAAGCTCTCACAACACTAGTTCAACGTGGTAGTGTCGGGGATGATCTCTGGCAGCGATTCCAGCGCGCGGAGAAGGAGATGGAAGACGAGGTCAAGGATGTGGTTTCAGAGGTATGATAAACTTTGCTCTCCGTTGCCAATAAACCATTGTTCTCGGCGAACAAATGAACAAATGATTGTACACGCTTTTGTGCTTTACTGACCGAAATCAAACAGGCAAACGCCTATGTCCCCGGCTGGGGCCAGACTATCTTCCAGTCCGCTAACGAAATGATGAATAACGATATCTACCGCAAGCGCATGGACGATCAACAAAAGAAATTGGAAGAGGAGCGCCAGTGGTGGAGCAAGAAGAAGACGAGTATCCAGGAGGGATTTATGAAGGAGTTGAACGAGGGCTCGACCGCTTCTACGGAAGAGGCTAGGTCTACCAACACCATAACTAAGTCTGTTGAGGCTCCACCCACAATCTCTACCGCCGGTACTTCTGTCCAGGGCAGTGATGACGATGCTGTTCTTGTGGAGGCTGAAACTTCCTCGAATACGCCTGCTTCTCCGCCAAGCGTAAAGAAGAAGGCCAAGGGCAAGAAATAGATATTATTTTTTTTTCTGCTTTTTTTTCGTACTCTAATCTGGGGTTCAAAATACACTCTTAATGCTAGGGGATTTTGGGCCACGGGTTCAGGAATTAAATTATTATACCAGTTAAAGTTATGGGTGAGAGGTTGAATAGCCAGAAAACCTATCAATATACCACGAACCGGCCAATTCAAGGCCAGATTCAAGTCCGAAGTGAAAATAATGCTCAAATTCAACAACGCTTTTATATAGACATCTGCTAGTCATGTGATTGCATCGTTACCCTATAGTGCGCACACTATATAGGTAATATAGACTGCGGGCATATCTAGTAGAGAAGATACCGATGATATCGGGTTGAGAAATGCTACGTTCTCCAATACGCTGCGAGGTAATGCAGCCAGGTAGTCTAACTACAGGGTACAAAATAGCTGCCCATTTGGCGAATGACTAGAAACTAATCCATAGGAAATGAGTGACATTTGGGGGTTTCATAGGTAACAACAGAAGAGCAAGGCCTAGGGTATCAATGCCCTAGTTTTCTGCCAAGGACAATCACATTTCCCTAGGATGGGTCCCGAACAGAGATGGTGTCTTGGAAAATAACGCCAAACATAGATAGAATTAAAAAAAATATAAAAAAAAAACACTTAGTGGATATTGAATCAGGAACGGGTTGAGGCTTTGGGCAGGGAAAGGTAGACACCGGAGTGGGTTGAGGTAGATGCCGCCACTTTTTGACTTGAGACTGTAGAGCCGGATGAACCTCTAAGAGTGTATCGTAGCGTTGTATCCTATCCCTGAGTGATGTCACTTCTGCACTCTGCACTGTCAATAGAGCGGACAGGGTTTGGTTGAATGAGGATTGGTTATTTCGGTTCCGCTGAGTGATGCGCAATTTATGGAGTAACGGCCATCACACTATCGTTCTGAGTACTGCCAGGGACTTAAAAAGATAGAGCAGGGTTGGCTGCCTGCTTCTCAGCAGACTGGGCAGGAATGGGTGGACTAGTCAGTTCGGGATGGATGACGGAAGAGTCCGCTGGGGATGGTGTGATTTTCCTCGAGGATAGGTTCTCTGAAGAGACCTTACAGAAGAGAGACTGTCCGACTAGACACGGGTTACACGAATGAAGGAGGTGTGCAGGCAATTTGAACCTCCCCTTCTCCACGGCTTCGAGAAGGCGGCGTATTCAGAGCGGATATGACCTCTCCATCGGAAGGCTGTTCCGTACTTTCTCCGGATGCCGGGCTTAAAGAAAGCCAATGTCTTGATTTGTTCGTAGGTCAAGCGTTCCTTCTCCAACCCTTTAAGGTTCGCAGGCAGGTCCTTCTCCGTTTTCCAATCCCAATGCCCTGGGGACTCGTTGCTAGAGGTATCCATGATTTCATGATAGTAATGATACACAGGATCGGTTTTTCTTTGCCCAAGGTGCCTCATTAAATCCGGATGTCTGTTCACCGATCTAGTGCGGATCTCTTTCCATTCCCCCCGGGCAGGCTCGGCCGGAGTTGGATCAGGGGCGGATCTCACTTTCTTGTTCGGGGTTGGGTCATGAGTCTGAGATCGAGATCGCTTTTGGTTGGTACCCCAAGAGGCTACTCTCTTCTCTGATCTTGATTTAGGTTCTAGTTCGGATTCGGTTCTCGGTTCTGAGTCCCAGTCCATATCCGCCAGATCAGAGGTTGAGTCACGAGTAGGAACATGAGAGCTCGATGTTTGAGGTCGAATTTTCTTGGATAGAAGGCTTGCCGAGGGTTGGGTTTTCCCAGACTTGTGGTGCCCAGATAAAATCCCCTTGCTATAGACGTGGGTTGGCGGAACAGGCTCCTCGGGATGGATTGGACCAGTTGAGTCGACTGGATTACTCGCAGACTGCAGTCCTCGGAACGAATTCTCGAGTGTAGCTAGCTGAGCGGCCGTATACCCTTCCAGGCCCGACGGTGGCGGTGGGAATGGGTCATAACCTAAGCTTGGGACTTCGGGGTAGGGATACGTGGCTCCGGGTTGCAATTGACTAGCGTAAGGTACCATTTGTGGCCGTGTATCCCGGATCGGGTTATGAGACGGGTGGTGTAGGCCTAGTTGGAATGGGGTGTTGTTATAGGTCGTGGCCCCGTCCACAGCTCGTGGGTTGAGAGCTGGCAGAGACGGGTCCCTGCTAGGCCTCATCGCCTGGGCAAGAAGAGCCTGCAAGTTTTGCGCCGACATTGAGCTTGTGGGATTTCCGGTCATTGGTTCAATCGAACCGGGAGTTTATGAAGGTAAGGCTAGATACTGACCCGTCGTCTAGCTGTAGAGGGTTGGGTAGAGCAGCTGGATTGGCGTGACAATCGGGTGAAATTTGCTGGAGCAGGTAGGAAAAGGGGGGGAAGCCTTGAGCTAAGGTAGTGGAAGAGGGAGATATAAAAAGGAGGAAAGGGAAGATCAAGGTAGAGAGGAAAGATAATAGACGCTACATCGATGTAAGTACATTATGTCTAAACAACAAAATAATATACACAACCCTAGTTAATTTGGGTGTAAAACAAACCCGTCAAACCGTCAAACGCCATGATTTCCCATGCAATGGAATAGCTTGATTGACATGGTCAATTACAGAAGCTTGCTATCGTCTACCCCCAAGGGCGGTCCTAAGTCGATATGTTCAGCCAACATCTCCTTCGCTGCTACCTCGAGTTTATTTTCGACCTGAACTGGATCCAAGGCATCTGCTCGGCTCATCACGATCCGTAGTAGACTGGCCATGATCTCCAGTTGATACTGTTCCATCTCACGTGGGTCTAGCTGTTCAAGACTCAATCCTTGCAATCGCAGGTTTTCAGCTTTGCGATCACCCAACAGTTCTAGCAAACGGCTGACTTGGCCGATATTCTCTTTGCTTCGTGGCGTCGAAGACAAGCGGCGGAGGCGCCGTTTCGGAGTGTCGGCCGGTACACCAGCAAGTCGTGCAATTTGAAGTACTATCATGCGGGCAGTCGTGTCATCAGGTGCGAAGCCGAAGGCTGAATGCATCGAGTGTATGACGACCAACGTGCCGGAGAGGTCTTTGGAGAGACAAAAACATCGCACAATCTGATCAAATAGAGCTCTAGGAATCTGTGCTTGGGTGTTTTTCTGGGTGCGAGGAGATAACTGGGAGTACCAGGATATCATATTGGCATAGAGCTGACGTGCTGATGGAAAGCCCGCATCGAAGGCAGTACGCCCGCGGTCGTATTGGAGCTTGGCACAGTCCCAGAGGCAGGCATATGTTTCCATGTCAGGCCGGATGGCGGTAGACATCGTCTGGAACTTGGTCCAAAGTTGTTTCACGTCTTGCTTTCGGAGCTCTGCGTATAGAAGGTGGTTCATGAAGTAAGAATTCGGCTTGATATGTGCATCCCCAAGGCACTTGACCAAGTATTTGACCATGTCGTCGTCACCTCGGCGCGTGTAATGAAGAAGAAGGATAGAGAAGGTCTCGATGCTCGCAGGCGGGACCTCTCTCTGCATAAATTGGGGCATGCGTGCTGATTCTGTTTCCCCAGATCTGACTCGAAGCTGAGGGGAAATCTCGGCTGGTTGGTACCGCCTCCATACAACATCGACACGCTTTTGGATCATGGCCCAGCCAAGTCGCTCTGCCTTGTCGCGTGCACTTGTGTTCCCGTCACGGAGCCAGCCCGCAATTATTCCATTCAAGTGCTTGCTATCGGGTTTGACACACCGCTCATACATAAGTTCAATGACCAGGGCAGCAGAGTCGACCTCGCCCATACCAATGAGCTTCTTCATCCAACTGGCATAGAAGAACCGATTCTGGAACTGGCGAGGCAACACCTTGAGTGCCGACAAAGAGACCTTGTTTACTTCATTTTCGTTGATGCTTGATGCATGAAGATTACCTGCCAGACCCAACGCGGCTTTGTACAAAGCAGTCGAGTCATTGGCTGGGTCTTTTCCAGTCACCATCATATCCTTGAAGATTGCAACTGCAGTGTCCAATCGACCAGCCGTGAGAAGGGCAATGCTGATTTGATCATAGTCTTCCATTGTCATATCTGAGCCCAAGAATGTCTTCAGCTGCAGATAAAGTGCCCAGGCTTTTACTTCAGCCTCCTTTCCGGGCAGTCTTCCCCATGCTGTGATGACAGGAATGAGTACACGCGGCTGGCGAGTTCGGTCGTTTGCCAGGAAAGCCAAAGCAATATCTTGAGCTCGTTGTGGGTTATTGTCTGCAGCAAATAATCGTACTCCGAGCTTCCAGTATTCTTCCAAATCCTCCTTCTTCTGGGACAGCTCTGCTTGATATGCCTCCCATTGCTCCAGTGCAAGGTTGGTGGAGCCATTTTCATGCAGAGATGTGATGTAAGATAGGATTTGAGGCGTGGCCAGTTCTTGGCCGATAGATTTAGCGTCCTGTACCAGGATTTGCAAATGCGTTGAGCGTGTATCCCGGTCAGTCTCCCCCATTGCTTGTGCATCCCATATTGTTTCGAGTGCCCCCTCAGGCATTATTGTCAAAAAGCCTGGGATGGTCTGCTTGCATCGTCGGTACCACTTCCATAAGTCTTGTCGAGCCCGCTCATCTGATATCTTTCCTTGGAGTTGTCGTAGGGAATCGTTGAACTTTATAGCGTAGGGATGAGACTCTGCCCCTGCACGCTTTGCTGCGGCGGATCGTCTGGCGGCTAGCTTTCGCCGATTCTTGACGCCATCCTCCCAATTCTCCTCCTCCATGGCGAGGCCTTCAAACTCCTCTCGTAGCATATCATCAAGTTCTTCATCGAAAACCTGATCCAACCCAGGCTCGTCTGCAGACTGAGGATTTTCCTCGTCAAATTTTCTCAAGGCTTCTAGGGCAATCTTGCGGTCCTCTTCTGGCAAACTCTTGATGAAAGGGCTGTTGGGAGCGAAAGGTCCCTCCTCCAAAACCTTCAATTCATCCTGGAGCTTCGCGAGCTCCTTTTTGACCTCATCTCGCTCCTCATTATCTTCGGCTTCGGGGTCGATTTTGCGTCGCGTTTTGCTCTCGAGGGATTCTTGTTCGTAGAATGTGACTTTGTCGTTCGGTCCGCCAAATTTAAGACGCTGCGGAGCTATGGCGGAGAAGGCCCGGCGTGGAACGCGTGTCGATGGGCTGCGGGCCACATGCTGACACCATCGGGCTCCTTGAATAGCCTGGCGCAGCATGAAGTCTGAAGTCAATCGGTCATCGAATGCGACCAGAAAAGTTGGAGAAATGAAGAAGTTCAAGTTCGGGAGAGAACCAATTATCGCCTGATTGGGTTTAGCGTCTTGTCGCGCTTCCGCCCTTGAAGTCATCCCCAGTGCGACAACTAAGTCCTTTCGAGCAGCAGCATGGATGCTGATGGATTGAACGATGCCTTGGGCTTGTCGAATGACAAGTCCCAAAACCTGGTTTGTCTTGAGATCCGGCACGGACCTTGAGGATGCGCGCTAACAAATCATCGCAGGGTGCGTACATCTACCAACCGCCCAAACATAGAAAATCAGCGGGCGAGCGACCTTCGAAGCGCCGCAAAGTCTCGTCAACCGCCGACAAGGACGAGCGGCCTGATCGACAGCATTTTGTGCCCCTTTTGAACGGAGACGAGAACGCCAAGTCCGTCCAATTACGATATGATGCCTATCAGGAGCTCTGGTCGAAGCAAGAACATAAGATTCAGGTTAGTCAGGCAAATTCATGGGTGGTCATAGTGATAAATTACTCACCAGGACTCAAGAACATCCTCGAGGATGTCGATGCTGGGGTTTTGACGGATGTGTTGTCCTTTGTCAGAGACACCTCACCTCAAACGTACGTCCCTATCCCAATGCGATCCACGACTGTGCTCTAACTAGGGCTTTAGATGTGATGGATGTATTCCTACGGCTCTGGTGACAGTTGGTTCAAATGTATCTTCGCTCAGCAGATTGCTATCACGGCTTAATGGTCAATTGATATCGGCCGGAGAAGGCAGTGTCGTGGTATTGGAATCAGGGGATGCTCCCAATTTGAAAACAACGTTGAAGAACATTATCCGAGCTACTGTTACAAATACGGATGGCAATGATGGATATCAAAGGTTCCTTACAGATCGTGCTGTATGTGGTCGCCTTAAAAACATTGGATTATTGTACTAACCGTTCACCAGGGACCTCGACTTCTTGGTTACGATTTAGATCTTCTTCACGACTATGTGCAGAGAAAGGGGACCAAGAAACTGGTCCTAGCTCTTCGAGATAGTGAGGCTTTTGACCCTGGCCTCTTGACCGATCTTTTGTCTCTATTCAAGTGCGATTGACATTCCAGACTTTGGTCGATCTCCTAACTGACCTTCTACTAGATCATGGCTTGACCGTATACCATTCACAGTCTTACTTGGTATCTCTACCTCTGTAGAGCTCTTCGAAGGAAGACTGCCTCGCTCGTGTGTTGCTCTCCTTCAGGGAAAGCATTTTGAGGTCCAAGAGGCCGGAAACTGTGTCGACCGCATCTATGAGACTCTCCAGACCGACCCAGACACCAATCTTTGGCTAGGCCGCAACGTTACTAGCACTCTGTTTGAGAACACAAGTGACTATTTCCAAAGTCCCGAGGCATTCAGTCGTATGGTCAAGGTGAGAACTATCCCCAATGGCTTTAAAAACAGACATCTAATTTATCTAGTATGCATACATGTCCCATTTCTTCGCAAATCCGCTGGCAGTACTATTAGCCAACCCGGATTCTACGGTTCTCGCCCAAAACAAGTTTTGTGAGGCGATCAGAAACCTACCGTCATTCCGAATGTAAGTGTCTCCGATTCTCAAGTTATATCTCCACTAATGTTGTTCAAGGTTCTGCGAGGATCTAGTCGAAGAGGGCTCTATAAACCAAGTCCGAGATATGCTAGAAGTTGACGAATATCTTATTCAGGAGGCGCCCAAGTACCTGGATGCAAACCAGCAAAGAATGCAAAACATGTTCCAGGCAGTCCGCGTCGTACATACCTGCCTTCAATACACACAGAGCTCGAAAAAAACCAATGTGTCGGACCTTTCTATTCGCGCACTCTCTGGCGAACTGTCTGAGTCCACTATTGTGGAAGAAATGGTCGCCACGACGAAGACTCTAGATTCTGACAAACTGGATGGACTCCTCCTCCGCCTCCGGGAGATTATAATGGGTCCAGAAGCCGGTGCGATCCAAGAAGATCTCAGGACTTTATTGGGAACGTGCGTGAACTCCGGCCCACTGCGCAGTGGAT